TCCCCTGTTCTTCCCCAGCTGCTGAGGTACTTCCAAATTGCTTTATTTGAGAAAAAGCTACTGACTATAAGGATCACAATTTAAAACATTGTTTTCCCAAACAAATGCGTTAGGAAATTATAATCTTGGAGAGGCAGATCCCTGGGATCGTTGCTACACCTTGCTCATCAGCCATGGCTTAGTCTGCAAGTAAAGACAGAAAAAAAGGGAGAAGATTCCCTGTTGAACAGAGGACATCATGAGTTGATATCTAAACGAACCAAGTTTCTTAAAGACCTCTGCGAATGTCAAACTGCAAGTTTCAAATGAATTTGAGGAATTTGAAAGCAGAATGAGCATAGTGAACCAGACATGCGATAGCTAAAGAGGGAAATAAATGCTTTTAAAAGGAAGTAAAGCCTTACAGAAGAGGCAGAAAGTATTAAGAACTACAGAAACAAATGGCATGTAGGCATTGCCAGCTGGTGTGAGAGAAGAAAGTCCTCTAGGCACAGCGCTTCTTAAGGGAAGTAGAAAAAATAAAGGAACATAATTCAACAAAGCAGTCTCAGGAAATATGCCAGAGCCTGGTTGACAGTAGAAGTAAACTAGACCTCATAAAACCAGACAATGCTGTAAAGATCATCAGATTTGCAAAACAACACTATTATGAAAAAGACAAAAGCAGTAGACTATTGCTAACATTTAAAAAATAAACAACACATAAAATAGTCTCTTCAGTCTCCAGAGGAGCCAGCCAAAGGATATCCACAAGACAATTTACCATGTATCTTACAGGATGTTAATACTGCTTGGAGACAGTGATTCCAAAGTAAAAGTATTTGATTTAAGCCACCTAAACCATACCAACAGATCAGAAGTTCTGGACGAAAGGTATTAAATGTTAGTTTAATAATAGAGAATATTAAATTAGGTACATTTGAAATTCCTAGGCCCCTAATAGCTCTCCTGCAGAATTTTTAAAAAATATATATATATTAAAGAATCTGGAGCGAACAGACGGAACCACAGTTGGGTCAACTCATTAATGAGACACTGAAAGAAGAAAAGGCCCTGGCATCTAGATGTAATAATACTGAAATATGGAGAACACCTACTCAGTTTCATGACATGTAGCACATCTGTTTATTAAATCGAACTCTTTTCTTTGTTCTTAGTAAACAAACCAAATAATCCTGCCTACCTACCCCAGCAGAGCTCCAGCCGAGTCTCTTTAACAGGAAACAAGGAGAGAGATCAGCATTCATGACTCATTTTTCAAGCCGAATATGCAAAACAACCCACCTCACAACTAACATTAGAAGATGAAAAACTGATAACGTGATCTGGCAGTTCTCAAAAGGGATCTTAAAAAACTTTTGGCTTAGTCCCAGGTTTAGGAATTAAGTATTTGTCCAGAGTCAAGTCCAAAAGCTGCAGTAAAAGTTAACAGGGCCCTGTAAGCAAGTTTCTTGTTTTCATGCCAGACACAAACCAAGGCTTTCTCCATCATCCCTCCTCTCTGCTATGGTTGTACAGTATTCATATAGATAGTCTGGGGAAATCACTAAATCCTAGGTGGAATGGACAGAGAAGACTGGGTGCACATATGAGTTTTTAAAGTAGATGATAAAGTAGTATTTTTGTCACCTCAGTTGCAAGTGGAAAATATGGACTAGTAAATACAGCTTTCAGATGAAGTCTAATGTGTACAGATGCTGATTGGTTTAATCTTCTAATGTCTATAAAATCTCACAGTGTCTGTATTCAAGGTAATAGGTAAGTCAATGGAGAGCAAATCTACTAGGTGTTGCTGTGTTATATAGAAAGGGCATCTAATTCAGGCACATCACAAGATGAAATGCAGGGAGCCTGGGAGACTATCCTTTCTCTGGCTTTACAACATTAAAGGAAATGGAGGACTGCTGTATGGAAGTGCATAGGAAAGAGTACATGTGGTTAAAAACAAAGACGTTATTTTTCTCCAGAAAATTAGAAAACAGATGAAAGCATAAAATTCTCTAATCAGTCAAAACTGAACCCAAAGAATTGTCTTGACCCTTAATCGGTTTTGTTTTCTATGCATCGCTAGTTGTCCCCCTGGGGAATTTCTTGGAAGACCGCCAATGTAAAATAAATTGATTAGGGGGGAAATGAGAATTCGATGTTAAAAAGGCCACTCTGCAAAAACTTGGCAAAATAGAGAGAGGTGCTGTTAAACCTAAAACAATATTATTGGGTAAATTAAATCAGAAAGGTGCTTACACTGGTCATTTTAAACACAATAAGCACTGAAAAGAGTGGAATAACAGCTTTTCCTAAAGCCAGGCTGCACGTGTCTCTAGTTCTTTCAGGGAGTAAAGGACCTTTAAGCCAAACCGGTATCTGATCGATTTCTCTAAGAACAGCAATAGAGGGGTGAGATAATGCTTATACTTTTTTCTAAACCCTAACTCTTAGCACTCATTTCTGTATTTGATAGCATGGAAATAAACTCTGCTGGATCTCAGGCAAGTCTGAAGACCTGGCAGTATAGTGCTGATATGGTATTACCTGAATTATTGAGAAGAAACGTGTTGAAATATATTGCAAGGTTTTCTCAGTTTGCAACAGAATAACAAGTGAATGTTCTGTAGTATTAATATATGCGGGGTCCGTCCCCCCGTGTGTCCCCCCCCCGCCCCCCAAATCTATGCAGAAAACTGACAAACTTTTGGAAAATTTTCCTTCCTTCAGTGTATACTCTTTCTTGCTTCTATATCCTTTAAGGAATTAATCCTAAGCCCCATTAGTTTTGAGCTACCCATGGGAGTCTCTCGGTACACCAGAACTGTTCTTGGCAGAAGATAACCAGAGCCTGGTAACCCTTCTTGGATTTATTACTTAACAGTAGGCACTTGTCTTTAGGCGTTATATGCTGATGTCTTAAGCTGATTGTTTCTGAATTTTTGGCTTTCGTTTGGATTATACAACTCCCTGTGTCTAGACTTTTTTATTTTATTTTATTGGTTTTCGCTTATGACATGTGTGATTTGTTTGTATAATTATCTGGAACGTATGTAGACTTGCTACTGGAGGAGACACATAGCCCAGATCCAGCCAGTGTGTGGTTGAGTGAATCAGCCATCTAAATTATACCTACAGAGTAGATAGGTCACTGCCAATCGCTGCGAGGGAGAACGCCAAAGAGCGCTTGTGAGAAAATATGTAGAGACAGTCCCTGAGAGAAGAAAAGGACTAAAGCTTTCTCAGGTGTTTTATTTTGCAGAAATGCAATGCCTCCCTGTCTTCTTCCCCCTTCTCTCTCTTGAAAGAAAAATATCTAAGTTAGCACTTTACTTCTCCCACTGCAATCTGACACAAAAGACCTTCTCAAATAAATCACTCGTGCAGTTGTCTGGTATGACACAGTGTCAGATGCTGTCTTTTTGATAAGTTCATTTCCTAAGCAATTTGTTTAACCCTTTTTATAGACATTGTTTTCTCTGACTAAGTCATGAGTCATTTTCAACACACGAGTACTCCAGGGAAATGTCACACTTGTCGCTTGTTTCTCTGCCTGCCTGGCTTTGCTGTATGATTTTTATAAGCTGAAAGACAGAGTTCCTCCTTTGCTTTGTCCCATTCTGCTGACAACTGGCTGGTTTTGGTTCCAGTTGGGCTACTCTATAGGCTGATCTTATAGATGTTATAAGGCCAATGAAGCATTTGGGAAAGACCGCCCTAAGAGCGTCAAGCAAAATGAAGAAGCTCTTAGGAGCCTGCTAGGAAGGGTACCACTCATCAAATTTGTGTCGTGCTGTGACTGTAATTTCTTGTATCTATCTCAGATGTCAGTTCCAAGTTGCCCTAAAGTAGCCACCACCAATAAAATGAGGTTGTCTAGGAAAAATCAAAGTGACCATTTTTCATCCCAAGGACTTGCTTTAGGACACAAAAGCTGTCATTCACCTCAACAGAACAGATGGGCTGGGGGCTTATAAAGGGTCTTGCTTGTTTTTTCTCTTGGGAAAAAAAACTGTTTGCCATTTTACAAAAACCTCTTCTTAGCAGTTTATATTGTAAACATCCTCATAAATTCAAAAAAGTGTACCCAAACTGCTTTGGATTTTCTGTGGCATCTGTGCCTGAGGGCAGCCGTGGGTAAGTGTTTGCACCCAGGTGTGGTGACAGAAGGCAAGAGCGAAGACTGTGGCAATCTCAGAAGAAAGGTCCCCTGGGGAACTGACTTCTGAAGAGGCAAATGTAATTATTAAGAGTTCTGGGTAGGCCTGCTGTCACAAGAAAGGAGTGTCGCAAAGACTGTTCCAAGATACTGCAGTTGGTAGCTATAAAACTCTTACCTTATTCAATGTAGAAGTGCAAGGCTCTTGTCTTCCTGTCCCACCCCCTTCATCTTCCCCTTTCCCTCCCTCTCTTTTTTGTTTAAAACTCTAGAGACTTGAAACATATACTTTAATGGTCTGATGATTTTTTTAAAGGAAAATAAATTAAGAAATTTTCTGACTAAAGTGGTACTGCCGTGTAGTACAATTTGGCTTGTGGCACACGGCTCCTTGAAAACCAAGTACCCTGTTTGTGATCTTAATCTGTCTTGAACGGCTGCTGTGCTACAGCAGCATGAGCTGTACGCGTCTGGAGAGTTTATCTGGGGGACCCTGTGTAGATCCCTTGGATTGCCTTTGAATGTTCTGTTCTTTTCTCTAATGAGTTACTGCTGGTTGTAAGCATGCTGTACTTCAAAGGCCGAAGGACATTAATCATTCTCTTAAGGATTATGTGTTGAGAGACGTGGATGCTGGACTTGCTGCCATGGAGAGACAATTGGATCCTGGCCACTCCTTGTCAGGGTAACTTTGGAGCTCGTACCCGTAAAGGACTGAAGCCAAAACCCTTTTGTCAACATTTGGATTGGTACTGAAGGAGAATGAGCGTGTTATGAAACTCTTCGCTAATCATGAGAATATTCCAGCCTAACTACGTCATCTAAACTTTTGAAATCATCTTTGTTCTGTCTGTAGGGCCATACTGTGGTAACGTGATGCCCGTCCCCAAAGAAATCATTCTGGATAGCAATGAAGCGACTATTCACTTTGAGAGTGGATCCCACGTGTCAGGACGAGGTTTTCTGTTGTCCTATGCCAGCAGTGATCATCCAGGTAAAGTGAAATCCAAAAGTACTAAAGGATTAGTGGCGTAGTCCCCCCTATTTCATTATCTTCTTTACACACACAGACTTTAGCCCAAATGTTTGGTCCTAAACATATCCAGATTAGCAAGAACCATGATATTTTTAAGAGCATGTGTGCAAGAAGCAGTTGTAATATTAACCAGATATAATAGCTGCTGAAATCTTACCAAGATAATTTGCAATACAAACCCAGTGAACAAGAAAATTAGTACCTTTTCCTTGAAGCTCCACTGTATTCTGGGCTCCAGCATCTACCACACAGTGATAGGATGAAGGGATAGGAGAGATTAAGATTTGATTCCTACATTTAATATTCTGGGGGTCTGCGCAACTTTGTTGAAGGTGTAAGACATAAGAAGAGTAGAAGAGGGAGATGAAAAGAATGAGGGAAAACCATAGCTGTTCCTTTCTATTTAATAAAATTGTTCAAGTATTATACAGAGAGGCCTTTAAATGTAATTTCATGTTCAGCCAAATATTTGTCTGTATTTCTACAACCTGCCATGGGGATTGACATTTGTAAACTTTTCACAGATCTAATCACATGTTTGGAACGAGCAAACCACTACACAAAGGCTGAATACAGGTAAAGAAGGTTTGCAGCTCTCTGCGCTCTGGCTTGCTTTGCTGTAACTGTCTTCTGGTCCCATGTTAGAAAATGTCATATAAGGCAGGTACAGTCTTGGTTTTCTGGAGAAGTGAATTTGTTTGAGCTCCAATGCTGTAATAGTCTAAGGGATGGAAGTCTGTGGCCGGAAAAGTGCGGGAATGGAGTTATAGAGCTCTCAGCGATTCTCGTTAGGGCATACATATACATGGTATATGTGAAAAGAGATTCCACTTTGAAATTCAAAGTAGCCTCAAATTCCAGTGCTTCTCCTGAGAGCAGATCACATCCTAGCTGATACGAGATTATCTGAGGACAAGCTATAATTTCTTGGTTCCTTGAACTTTGTGATAGGATTTGAAATGGTAATAAATTGCGCTCTTCTGGCTGCTGTCTGGATGGGCATGTAGGCTTATCTGGGCTGTGCTGAAAACTTGTGTGGTAGCATTTCTAGAACAAGAGAATTAAACAGAAATGCCCTTGCAAAACTGCTTTTCTGGTTCTTTGTGTGCTGCTGTGTGCAGTCCACTCACGAACTCAAGGGCCTGTTTATTTACCTCCTCGACTCACTAGCAGACCATCAGCCGGAACTTACTGCTAAAACGTTTCTTGGTTTCAGAGCATTTATTTTGTAGGAGTTTGTTCCTGTGTATCATCACTACACTTCATATTTTAAACAAGCTTCTCTTCTCTCACTACAGCAGATACTGTCCTGCTGGCTGCAGAGACATAGCAGGCGACATCTCTGGGAATGTCGGAGAGGGATACAGAGATGTAAGTACACAGGATAATGAGGGGAAATTTATAAAGACAGAAGAGAGAAGCGTAGCACAACTTGGTTTCAGCTTTTGCTGTTTGACTTTTGTCAGTAATTCTACCCAGCTGTGTTAGATAATACCTTTTATTATCAGTATATGAGTATGTTATCAGTATAAAAGCACAGGGAGACACTTTTCAAACAGACCAATCAATTATGTGAGAATAAAGTCCATCGATTGTCAAATACACCTACTGACTTGCGGTTTCTAGCTTTCTGGAAAAACCGTGCATAGGGTTTGTCCCTCTTGAGGCAGTGCTCACAGATGTACCAAATATTCCTACGACTTCAGCTTTTACTTGTTTGGAGTCCATGCGTGTTTCTTTTCTACAGTTATCTCTTGTAGGAAAACCCCCACATTTCAGTAACATGCAGGTTTTCTTTAAGATTATGCCTGCGGTATCCCAGCAATCTGCTCTGAGACGAAATAAATATTATACACTGCCTAATGACATCCCACTGATAACCACCAACCTCTTGGGTTCTTTAAACCCAACCTCTTGCTCGTTCTTTAAAGCGAAGAAGTTGCCTGAGTGGTTGCATTTATCCACAGTTCACATCACACAGTGCTCTCCTCCCGTCATGCCTGTGAAATCTTTACACCTCTCACAGTGGAGTAAGTTTAATCATACCACTGAAGTAAAATCCCACCCTATCACAAATATAGCAGTTGCTGAGTTTCCAAAAAGTCAGTGTTCACGTTTAACCTGTTCATCCAGTTATTCGAGCACGCCGCTCCAGCCTGGAAAGTGGCAGAGCTGAAGAAACAAAGAAATGCCATAGTACATTCTCATTAGCTGGAGTTATTCCTCCCCTTCGTTTGGGTGATTAGGAAAGAAAAGCATCACATGGCATGACCTCATGCAGATCTTATCTGCGCTGAGGAATTTTTGAAAGAAATTTTCCCTCCACCTTAAAGGGGGATTCAGCTTTTCTGATGGGAAGAACCCGCGGGGGTCCCCTGGAGACCTGCTGCCTTTGGGTCCCCAGCCCTCCCCGGAGGGGACAAGCCGGCACCCCAGCTTGCAGGGTGGCAGTAGCCCAAACTGGGTCGGTGTGAAGGAGACCAATCTCTGCCAGCAGCCCCTGGGAACGTCTCCTTTGCACCCTTCTGCCGGCCTTTCTCAGCCTTGCCCTAGCCCAGCGGTACGTTATTGCCACCTATTTGGCACACTCACCTTGTCCTGCCTGTATTTTTCAGCATTATCCAATACTGGCAAAGGGGTTCTACTTAAAACCCAGCAGCAGCTAGTCAACACATAGCCAAATCTCCTAATGTGTGCCATGACTCAAATCCTAAGGCACAGTAATAGACAGGTCTGCCTTCAGGCAAGTCTATCAAGTAATTATTGTTTTCTCTTTGCAAAGAAGAGTTGCCTTGCCTTTGACTTTGTTTTCCTGAGGAGTGACACAATACTTATTAGGTTAAAATCTTACAGCACCTTCTCAGAAGCAGATCATTTGCTTTGTCATTTGAAAAAAAAGTGGCTTTTGGAAATGCATTTTTTTTTTCAAAGATCACTGCTCTTTCTCTCTCCCCTGCCTCTTATTCCTCTTGAGCCTTTGCCGGATTTTATGAGCTGTAACACCTGTATACTAGTGGCTTGGAAGTGAAAGCATTAGCACTTTGTCAGATTGATCCTCTGAGCTTTGGCTTCTGACGGCTTTTCTGCCTTTCAGACCTCGCTGCTGTGCAAGTCGGCGATACATGCAGGCGTTATCGCGGACGAGCTGGGCGGTCAGATCAGCGTCACCCAGCAGAAGGGCATCAGCCGCTACGAAGGCGTCGTGGCCAACGGCGTCCCCTCGCACGAGTGAGTACCCCCCTCGCACCAGTGAGTACCCCCCTCGCACCAGTAAGTAACCCCCTCGCACCAGTGAGTACCCCCCTCGCACCAGTGAGTACGGCTGCAGCGAGTACCACTGGTGGGTCCGGCTCCGGGAGCAAACCCCCCAGCACAGTGCGCTGCCCAGATCAGCAGAAGCAGGTGGGGATGCTTTTTGGGGGAGGAAAAGGTGTTAGGTGTGAGTCTAGGGGCTTTGTTTCTACGGCTTTATTAAAATGGTGTTGGCATTGGATATAGGAAAATGTTCCAGGTTTTCAGTGGCTATACCATGTAGGGCGGTTTTTTTTTTTTTTTTTTTCCTTCTATTCCTTCCAAAACATATTTGCAAATTACTTTGTTAGCAGATACATGAAAGTACGATGTTCTGCAACAAACACCTTTAATCGATGTGCTAATAAATCATGATAAATTCATGTTAAAGTTTAAAAAAAAGCTAGGAAGAATGAATAAATAAAAAGTGCCATTAAGCCATAGGGGATTTCATGAACAACTTCTCAAACATTGTGCTTTTGACATGTTCAGAGTTTTTCTCTTTTAGGATATTTATAGCAAGGGTGTTATATTTACCACTTATCTTCTGACTTTTAATTGTACTGTTGTTGAAGTAGAAATAAATCCTCTAATCTCTATCCAGCACAGTAAGCCCTTCCAGCAACTGCCTCTGTCATTCCTGCTGGTTTATATTTTTTAATTTTCAAATGTTATCTGGATTTTACATGAGGCTTTTTTTTTGTAGGAAGGGAAATCTCCTCAGTCCCATAGCCTATGAGAGCTAAGGGAATATGTCTTTTTAATACTCTTTTCCTGGTTTTCCCATGATTTCTCACACCCTCCTGACAATTTTACAATCATGGTTTCATTCATGAAAAAAACCCCAACATCCATTTGGTCTGTTGCTGTGCTTAAACTCCAGCAGAGACTGAAATGCTTTATATATAATGGCACTGGAGTATACAAAGCTGTGTAGCCTGTAGAAAACTAGCCAAAGGCCCATAAAGCCTAAATATTTTCTATTTTTCTTGAAAGGTAATTGCCAAAGAAAATTAATATAAACTTGTTGCAAGCAAAGCAGGACTGAGAGCTCAGCTCAGGCACAAAGCCCCTCCATAAAACAAATAATACAAATTCTTTCCATCACACATGCCAGCTTAGCGAAACCCTAAATTAAATATTTTGTGCCTTATCGAAGGATGTTACAGAACCATTTACATGCTTTTGTATGTTCATGATCCTTGAGAATCCCAGAAGGAGTAACTCAGACGGTAGCGCATGAACTGTTATAATGAAAGGCAGCTGGGATTCCCATTTGTATTTTTTTCACGGTACAAGAGCTAGTGGGCAACGAATGAAGCGTATAAGACAGCAAATGTACATACACGTGCTGGGGGAAAACACTGTTTGCATAATTAATGCATCACCTTAACTGCTGAGCGTCCTTTTAATGTTGCCATTCGCAAAATACCCTATACCGTTGACGTGAGTGATGGAAATACCCAGAGATGCAAACTTGTCTCTATTACATCAACTGGGGGAAGTCCCATTTACTTGAAGGAGAGCCGAAACGTGCACTCCCAGGCTGGAGCCAGCCTCCAGGGCTCGAATTTAGCCCATTTAATGTGAGGCCCCTGAGAGAGGAGCGCAGCCCCCATAGCTCTCCCGCATACTGGGACAGACAGAGGCACTCCTCCAGCACGGTGCACATCTCAAAGGGACCGAGTTGCTCCGAGGAGACAACCGTCGCTTTCTACACATTATATGGGGAGCCATAGGTAAGCGGGCTCATACTGGGTGGGATGCCTGCAAACTAGGTGGCACGGATTTTGAGAAAAATGGGAGTGTGAGCACAGCCCTTCCCGCGATGCTTCTGCTGCTCCTGGCAGCTGGGAGAATCCCGGGCGCAGACGAATGCTGGTGTGAGCCCGTTATCCTAGGAGAGGGAAATTGGAGGATGCAGGGAAATCCTTTTATTTCAAAACGTGAAAAAGCGCTCCTAGAAACAGTGGGCCTATTTACTAGGAAGATGAACCCATGCATTTCATGCTTTATAAAGGCTTTTATGAGAGGTATTTCCAAAGCTGCATGGCTTCCCTGTCCTCGGGGTACCTACACGCTGCAAGAAATTCCTGCGGAGCAGCCCGTGCTGGTGAGAAAAAATTGGTGCTTGGACAGCAGTGCTTTAAGAGCTTTTTAGACGCCCTTACATAAAAGCTTACTCAAGTTTTTAAATTCTCATTTACAGTGGATTTCAGTATTAAAGGTTTAAATTATTTAGTGACTTGAGCCAAAACTGACCTCATCAAAAGCTGCTGCTGGAGTGCGTTGAGCTGTTAAATATTTGCGTTGTAACGTGACGGTGGAGTTACGGCTTGCTGGCTCACCAGCCCGCAGGAGCTGACCTTGGCCTCCCTGACTCCATTTTTCAGTGCGCTTGTTACGCTCCAGCATCTGTGAGTTTTTCAGTTCTCATGATCCATGCGTGGACCTGCACCCGCAAATGCTGTAATGGAGATCAAGTGGCCAGATTTATTGTCAGTTCTGATACCCCAGGACAAATATATGGGGGTTTAACTTTGTAATGTGACCTGGCCTGTGACTGTATGTCTGTGCATGTGAAATCATTTGTCTTTGAAAATGCAAGAGACCGCACGCTTGTGAATTGTGAAAGATGAGATTTGGGGTTAACCTGCGCTGCTTATAAAAAGCTTGCTTGAGACCAACTCTGAAAAAAAAGAAGTATTTGATACTAACAGAAATTTATTATGGGAAGCAGCATCCTTTTTTGGCAGAGCTGCCGGCACAGGTCTCCCCTGCAGTCCCGCCACCAGTACTGTTGGCTAGACAGGATCCTGAAGGTTGTCAGGAAAATGAGGAGCACTGGGCGATGCCATCCCTTAAAGGACAAAATGAAATTTGTGTGATGAATGCCACCTGTCACATTAGGAAACTGATGAATTACCACTTACTGAATTAGTTTGTCCTCTTCAGTGACTTGCAGAATTATAGCAGAAATATTTCAGCTTGATTTCATAGCTTTATAGACCTTAGAAATGCTAACCTCCTCCCTTTCTTTGCTAAAATTGCAGCCCTCTATTTGAAAGGGATCTGGGTGACTTTTTTTACTACAAAGCGTTATCTTATAAATAAGTATTCGAGGAGCGCTGTGATTTCTGTTTAGGGTAGATTTTACTGATCACCACGGGTTTTTATTTTCTTCTTTTCTCTTGAAACAGATTGCTTTGTATTCGCTAAGAAAGCAAAAAATTGTTTTGGCTGTAATGTCGAACTGGTTTGAAGTGAGCAGAGCACATCTGATCGCCCCTGAGGATTGCCCGGGGGGGGGAAGGTGTGGGAGGGAAGGCAGGCTTGAGTTTCTCCTTCCAGGTACTCTACCGCCTACGTGCCCAAATAAATCAGCTCCCTCCCAGTGCTCTCCATCATCTCGGAAGGGCTTCGTTTGCCTGTAGTTATTAGTTTTCCCTCAGTGACAAAAAGAAGCAGTGTTTTTATTGCCCTTGACGTGGGACCGCTTTCCTATTCCCCGTTTGCGGTGCTCTCGAAACATACAGCCGTGGGCACCGCCGTTAGCCCACGGGGGAAATTTTCGTGGCCAACAACAAAGGGCAGCCTGAAAGGGAGCTGTCTTGACGATGAAGTGCAGAAGCTGTTTTGCTGCTCAGTCACGCCGGCCAAGGCTTTTGAAAAGGGGCAAGCGATGCGTGCAGCTAATCGCAGCAGCAGCGTTGAAAGGGTCAGATTTTCAAGAAATCCAAACTAATTTCACGTTAAAACCCAGGCTTTGATTTTCATTAGGCAGAGTCATCACTTCTGGAATGAAACCTCAGGGGCATCTCAGAAAGCGGCTCCATGGGAGGCCAAGCAAAGCTCAGCTTTCCCTTACAGTGGTGATTTTATCTTGTCCTGCATTGTGCAGGGCTGTATGGAGTGGCCCAAGAAAAGGTTTTTCTCCTGAAGCAAAGCAGCCCGTGTCAGAAGGAGGAAGAAAAGGGGAGCCATAGATGTTAATGGAGCAAAAAGAACCATTCCTGATGGGAGGTGGTGGTGGTGGTTCTAACAGAACTGGTTCCCACCCAGGTTAAAACAAGTAGTTTTCATTCAGTCTGGCTATGATACACCTGCAGCCCAAGTAGGAACGGCCAGAGCCGGCACGGTTTAGTCACCATCCCGCGTAACTCTTTCACGATGTGTAAGGCTGGATTTTCTTCAAACCAGATGCGGACTTAGACTAATAGGAAGCTGCGGGTTTCAGTGCCCTTGGTCTAATTTAAGCTACTGTAGGCGAGAAGAGACCTGTGCCCGGTGCCGGAGCAGCGCGCCGCCGGTAGAGCCAGCCCCGGTTTGCTTTCCCCATCCTGGCTCTTGGGAATGCTCTTATGTTGCTGGTCTGAGGAGGAGCAGAAGGGGAAAGCTTTCCCGCAGAGGTACAGAGCCTGCGGAGAGGAGAAAAGCAGAAGCGTGCAGCAGGAGTAACAGGCTGACGGGACGGGGAGTCACTTTAAAGCATAAAAAGTGCTCAAAACCATTAAAAACTGATCTGAATTCAGTCATGGTGAGAGATGTACAGAGTGCTTTTACTTGGGTCAGTAAGCAGCCAGCAAAGTAAGTGGCTCTCTGGCCAGAGATATTTTGGTAGATAAAGAGTGATTCTGAAACTGTACCTCGGCATTCCCCTGACCACCGCCTGAAAGGCTGAATTACCTTTTTCTTTTCTTACAGCGGTTCGCTGTCAGATAAGCGGTTTATATTTACTTCAAATGGTAAGAATAATGGCTTTATTTTTAGCTATTCAAATTTTACCTTTTTATTTAAGTATTTTCTGTATAAGTTTTGAAAAGTAATCAGGAGAATGTCAGCTGTGTCTAGGAAGGATATTTTAGGACAGCAATTTTTTAAAATTGGCAAGTGAATAAAAAAATTGAAGGAATGTGAAGTGAGCTAGAAAAAAAATCACAGAATAGGAATAGGTCGTATGCACATAGACGAGAAACAGAAATAGTATTCTGCTGTTACATTTCTGGTGCCAGCATATGAAAAATGGCAATCAGATAATCCCATTTTTATGTACTTTAGGTGGCAGAAAATGAAAGCAGTTTTTCTGCAGACATTTATAAATTCTGTCTTCGTTATACAAGAAGAGAACGAAAACATAGGAGGAATGAAAATATATTTACATTGCACTGATACAGAACGAGTTTTTGTTTATGACTTTCCAAGATGCAAAAGCGTCTTTAATCTGTCAAGCTGTTCATTTGCATAAAACATAGCAAAGAGGGGGGAAAAGTTCGTGCTCGTTCATTTGAATTATATTTCAGTCATCTGAGATAAAATCATTTACTATTCCACTGAAAATTGTAAGGCATGTATAGGCCTTTGAAACTGCCAGGGAATTATTTTTAACTTCATTGAAACCTTATTCCGCTGGCCTGTTTTCTCTGAAGAACCTTGATGTGCAGAAATTTTGCGGGTTCTTTGGTGGAGTTTGTAATACTTACCTGCAGCTATTATCTTCGTGATATCACCTCTTGGCAGCAGTATCAAGGAGCTTCTGTAATGAGTAACTTTCCTAGCCCTAACTGCAGGTGAGAATCATGAAATATTTACAGTAAAGTGTTCCTTTCAGTACAGTGCCTTCATCCAAGAAATGTTTTGTACAGCAAAATTAGTTAATGCCAATCTCAAAACATAAATATTATGTTTCAGAAGGAAAATTTAAAAATATAAGAAGTCTTCACAGGAATGAGACAAAACTGCAGAGATTAAAAAACAAAATGGCAAAAATAGCAGATGTAGTCAGAAGGTGTCACGTATGTAGGAGTTAAATTGGTAAAGGAGAGGGACCGCAGCTCTCTGGTACTGGATCATCCACTACAAATTGACTGGCAAACACCACAGCTAATGGATAGCGTCAGGCTAGCACTAGATTAAACAACATCTGACTTTGCTGCTGTGGGTGGTCTTCATATGTTGCTAGCCTAATATAAAAATATGCTGTGAAAACACAAAATAACTCCTTCTGCCTGTCTGTGTGGGGACTCCTAGGCTGCAACAAATCTCTCAGTCTGGAAGAGGGATTCCTCTCCAAGAGCCAGGTTACCGCATCTTCCTACTGGGAGGAGACCAACGAATTTGGGCAAGTATTCCAGTGGTCTCCCGACAAGGCTTGGCTTCAAGTCCCAGGATTGGCTTGGGCCTCTAACCACAGCAGCAATCGTGAATGGTTGGAGATAGACCTGGGAGAGAAGAAGAGAATAACAGGTATGTGACTTTCTGGTTATTAGAAGCTGGGGTTTCAGCTGGAGAAGAAACTGAATGCAGCTGAAATGCTAATAACGCACTAATGCAATGTTCCTTTCATTAAATGTAATGAAATGTTCTGCATTGAGGAATATTATTTTCCTATTTAAAAAATCATGGCTATTCACAAGACTCGCCTTCCTATAGGGATATAGGATTGAACTCAACTGTCATGCATGCCTGGTCTGTAAACATGCTGTTAGGCTCAGAACAAAATATTTACACAGGGACCGGTAGAGTCTGGATGGATGATAAACGATTGCTTAGGATCTATTCATGATGCAGTTCTGGAATCAATAAGAAACATTAAAGTCATAGCCTTTGAAACAATGGCCCAGGTGAAAGAAACGCCTGTTTCCAACTCCTGGTTTAGTTGTAAAAACGTAAATTACAGTTGCTGCTAAAGATGTAAAGACTGCTGATATGGACCATAATATCAAAACGCAATTATCGTTTTTGGAGTCATTAATCTGGGCTCTGTTAAAAATTCCATTGCTCTAAATTCACAATTTAAAACTGATTTCCATTCTTCACCCAACTTTTAAACTCAATTCCAACATAGTTTGAAAAATAAATTAAGACCTTGAAGGCAAAGTTCTCCAAATTGTTTTGGCTTCTGTGTTTGCATTTGAAAATGTTCCTTTAAAACAGACACCTAACAAATGAAAACGTATTTTGCATTTTGTGAAAAGGGATTAAGACCACTGGTTCTGGATCCACGGTGATGAATTTCAACTTTTACGTGAAGACATTTACGATGAACTACAAAAATAACAACTCGAAATGGAGAACTTACAAAGGGATTCTGAGCAATGAAGAAAAGGTAAGGGAAAGTGGGAGGGGTAGGAAAACACAGAGCAAAAATGTGTTCGCTGCCTTGACATTGAAGGGCAGGCTTTCACTGTCAGGAATGATTAGGAGTTTCAGACTTGTCTAGACTTGGGTTGTCTTCACCAGGGTAATTTACGGCCATGGAGTAGATAGCGAGCTTGTAGAAACAAGGAAGTTATCCAGGGCTTGCTGAAGTTGTGAGACACACACAGGGAGGCATGTGTATGTCTGTATCCTTCTTTTTAAAAAAACCAGTAATTACAGCTGTACAACAGGCTGTTTGGGCAAGCCTTAGCTCAGCTCGGCGCTTGCCCGTGCCAGGAACGCCGTACCAGCGCAGAAGCGTTGGTCGGTACGGCACCAGCAAAGCTGAGATTCGGCTTCAGATGCAGCGGGATGGTGAACGCAGCCCCCCAACAAGCGAAACAACCGACTCGGGTAAAAGCACAGGGCTGCTGGTGGAGCTGTGCCCGTGGACCCAGCTTCTGCTCGGGCTCTCTTACGGTCACCAGGGACTGCACCGCTCCCTGCCCCTCGCTGACACAAGTGGGCACAGCCTACGTCTGTCAGGATTTGAACTGAACGTAAAATAAATGCTCTTGCACCACAATACCTGTCCGCACAACAGCTTTCACAGACTCTGAGCGACTTTAACAAGTAACAGATAAAAGCAGTGCAGCTAGTTCCTGCAGACAAAGGATGTGCTGCACAGGTTCGTCTGACAACATTTTCCCTTGAAAACCTCAAGTTTCCTTTCAAACAGAAAAAAGAAACCCCAAAGCCCCCCTCCCTGCCCCCCCAGCGTTCAAAGTCAGACCTTCACTGATCATTTCTGAGGGAGCTCAGCTTGCCCCAGGATAAGGCTCTACCCGGTCCTAAGTCCTGACGGCAGTTTTTAAAAACTTGGTAGAGCTGTAGAGAGATTTCCTACTAGCTCCGATTTTCTTAGCTTGTATGGCAAGGAATTTCACTGCGCAACATTAACTGGTTTAATATTTTTCAAATGTTAAACTGGAGGGGTGTTGGCCCAACAAGTGACAAATCAACCTAGTAGTGGCTGAGCTGTGAAGGCTATTTAAAATATGTGGGTTTGCAGTTTTCCACAATGACTTGTTATATACAAATAATCTTACTAAATTATTATATATGATCTTAGTTTCAGCTAAGGTGCATGACAAAACCTGTCCCATCAAAATCCCAAGTGGCCTAGCATTTTATCTAAGATATGCTGAGCTCACTTCCCTACCTCATCGGGCTTGTAAGTTCTCCTCGATCATGCTGAAGCATCTCCGAGAACTAATTTTGCAAGGACTATTGTTCTGCACACGGGCTGAACTGATTCTGGGAAATACAGAAAAGGAGACACAACCATGTAGTTAATAGTCACTCCTCAAGCTTGATACAGAAAACTGACCATTTTACTAAAATATCTAGAAATATTTCACTTCAATTTTTTCTTTTTACATTTTTATCCCCTGTTGCCCAATTAAGGGTGCTGCAGTGCTATTAAATCAAAAATTATATCACTATACCAGCATACATTAACTAGAAATTACACAGCATTGAAACAGTGATAATCTTTCTTCTCTGAGCTAACAGCAGAATGCGATATCTGTCAGAACTAAAAAGATTATTTCTTTCCAGAGGTCTCAATTCCAGAAATCTTGTGGCTGCATCCCAGATTATCAATATATTTTAGTTTTAGGATAATGACAAAGTTTGAAGTTGGATGTCAGGAGCACTTTGAAGAAACAGACTTTTAAAATGGAGCAAACAACATGCTGATGTTTCATTGCAGGTATTCCAAGGGAACTCCAACTCCGGTGACATAGTACGCAATAACTTCATCCCTCCGATAGTGGCCCGCTATGTGCGAATTATCCCTCAAACTTGGAACCAAAGAATAGCACTGAAGCTTGAGCTGATGGGTTGTCGAATAATGCAAGGTATGGGGTAAGCAGCACTGCCCGGGCACGGTGCTTCCAAAGCCCCTCTGCTACCACAGTGCCACTGATGCTCCCTTCTCTTTTGCAGCTAATAGTTCATTTACGCATTCAATGTGGCAGAAACCGAGTCAGAGCACGGAAACCTCCCTTGGAAAGGAAGACAGGACTGTTACGGAGCCCATCCCATCGGAAGAAACTAACTTGGGTAACGCTACCTAGCACTGCACTTTCTCTAGGATGCATCATGTCTTCAGCCCAGCCCGAGGGAACTTTAAGCTCTCTCACAAACCAAAACTTTTATTTTCCCTTCAGACTTGATTAAAGGTTAACCATAGAGAGAAGAGGGAGGAGCATAGGTTCTTTCTGTCTTAAGCCACAGAAAGAGACGGAAAGCCTTAGTTTTCCTTGATGTGTGAAACATCAGGCTTTGGTTTCCCTGTCATATTGCTTTATTTGCCATGCTTGGTTGGTGGCTCAGGGGACTATACTGAGCACTCATCAGCATTTTTTTGAGGAGCTCTTCCTCACCCTCTTCCTATAATTTTATAATTTTTGTAATACGTGAGGCAGTGGTCTCACAAAAATTACCTTCTCTCTACACAACCATGACTCCCCCCAGAGCAGGTCCCCAGCTCCAAGCAGCATCCAGTAGCGCACGGTTGTGTAACTAAACACTTCTCCATAACGCCTGTGTTCATGGGGGCTCAGACAACCTTCGTTTGCATACTTCTCCCTGAATTTGCAGTCTTCATCCTTCCATGTTGTGGAGCCAACTTTTTAGATCTTAAAAAGCAAACAAACAAAATTTTTGCTTATACCGACTGTTTAGTGGACGCATAGCCAGGCAGGAATTACCAGACCCACTACACCAAATGCTGCTACCCATTAGGTAGCTGATAGTTGTAGGAATGTCTCTGTAAAAAAAAACAACCACCCTGGTTATAAGAAGCAATCACTGTAAGAAAAAAGCTCCTCTAAAACTGCATTGCTCTTGCCAAGAGCAAGCTCAGTTCACCTGTGCAGCGGTATGGGTAAATTGTATCCATGTTCACTGAAAATGAAACCTACTGAGATTTCATCTGCTAAATTGTAAATACCCTGTGGACACGTGTACTACCTTATTCTCACAGCCTGGTAAGTGTCTGTAGGAATAGCGAATGGTGCACTCCTGACACAAGAGCCACCCCACTGCTAATTTTCAAATCCCTGCACTAAACCGTGTTGTGTTAGAATTTACCAGGGGCTAAGCAGGTTTTTCCCTAGCTCCACTCCTGGAAACCTTTGAACTATTTTGACTGAAATGTTTCAACCGGTTCAGCATGTGCCAGATACTTGGCATGTAAAATTGCAGCCTCATTTGGCAGTTTTATAAGCAACTGAAAACAGAGTGAGTAAGTGGCTTTTTAAAAGTTACCTAGAAATAAGGCAATAAGAAGGAAGTGCTCTTTTTAAGTATGCATACAGTGCTTAAGTCAAGCGTCAGCCTTGAGAAAGTATATGTAACTCTTTCATCTCAACACTTCCACATACGTACATGGCAACCAAGTATGGCTGAGGAGTGGTCTTGCAGTTTTATAGTCCTACATTTTCATGCTCTCTTACAAGGAGCATTCCTGCAAGATTATCTGCCTTTTGCTGTATTCTCTGTAGTAAAAATTACCAGCTTCAGAGTAATTTACCTTTTAAACTTTTATCCTTTTTTTTTTTCTCATGCAGGCTTAACGCTTACAGCTATAATTGTCCCCATCTTCATCGTGCTGTGTCTGTTCCTGTTCTCTGGAATTTGTATCTGTGCAGCCCTACGCAAGTAAGATACTGGCTTTTCTCATAGGAAGCATTTGTGGCTACCTAGCTAGCACGTCCAACTACGTGCCTTCTTTCAGAGCCTCTTTACCAGGGAGCTAGAAATTGATCCTGTTCGGCAGTCTTCCTTTTAAGTAGACCTCATGTCGTGTCTCTGTAAATTGTATTTCTTATTGTACATCTCCCCTAACCGGACAAAAACGAAGGTAAAGCAGGTCAGAACTGCACACCCCAATTTACTGTCCAATATAACTCTTCAGCCTACATATACCCACAAATACTAAGGTGTAAAGCAATCGAAGACAGAATAGTTTCCACACCAAAGCCAAGTAAAAATTCAGTGAAGGGAGGATTTGAGCTATCTATCTGGATCATTCGCTTTTATTTCTCTCCTGTTGTGTTTCTGTTTCCCAGTCCTGTAAGTCAGAGCACTTCACCTAGCAGGCTGAAAGCAAAGCCCAGGTGTAAGGAGTTGCACACATACACTGGTAAGCAGCTAAACCCAAGCCACTTCATTTCACAAGGGAAGCAGCACTGCTAACTGGGATTCTTGCTAGATGTCCATGGGTATGAACCTGCACTTCCATGTAGAGCCTGGAAATGCTTCTGTCAGCCCATGGGTATTTGGAAGTATAAGCAATGCTCTGGTGATGTTGCTCCATCACTAGCGGTACCCAGCTCTGTCCGGGATTCCCAGTAAACTTATAAACTAGCCAAAGAATTCAGAAGAGCAGACACAAAACATAACCTAGAGTGACACATATAGACATGGACAAATCAAATCGATGAGTGCCAGACACAAGAAATTTGAACACCAGCACTCACAACTTGCATATAGATGGGGAAAACCGAAGCGGCAAAACGCTGGTTTGCATACCTTACGTGCTAGTAAACACCAGCCTCTAAGAACTCAAAAGTGAAGTGTCGTCCTCAGCTGCTAAAGACAAAGGCTCTCTCTGCTGGAGCTAAGGCATGAAGCTGAAATGCTGTGAGTGCAGATGTTTATAAATGCTTTCTTCTCCCCGCAGGCGAGAAGCCAAAGGACTTTCTTATGGATTATCCAGTGCTCAGAAATCAGGTTAGTGGAGAATCATGCACCTTCTCCTGTCCTGTCCATTGAGCCGACAGGAAGGGGTTTATGCAACTAAGCATGAAATGTTTATGAAATAGCATCCACGTTTCCTCGTTCAAATTCACCTCTTCATACAAGGGAAACGGCAAACGATAGTCCCACCGGTGTCATCCTAGCACCGTGCCCAAAGAAACAATATAATTTGGTTTCTATGACGGAAAGGCAATTAGCAAAAGATCTGTTATACAGAGTGCATAAATTAGCATATAAGAGTGCTCCCAGGTGCCCTCCCTTTCCTTCCCTCCTCCAAAATACCTATTTTGCAGAAAACGGCTGCTTTCCTTTTCTCTTCCCCACAGCAGAGGGGATTGCCTTTCTCTAAGAGAGCAAGGGCTAATAATTTTTTATGGCTTTAATATTTCCATCTTACTGCCCTCCCTGGTTGGGACTGTATTTGTACAGCCTAACAATACTGAATTGTACTTTGTGTGTAAAATCTGAATATAGGGGGTTGGCTTGAGGACTCTGCTTTAGGAGATGCCTGCAAAACCCTGGTGAAGTATATTCTTTGTCTTGCTCAAGAATGCTTTCTAGAGTGCGGTCTCCTATCAGCTTGGAAGTTGGGGTTTAGCTGTTTTTCCTGGCCAACCAACTCTATAGAGGAATATCCTTCTGAATCGCGGCTTTCCATAAAAAAAGAAACCACCAAGCAATTCACATGTCTCTTGACAAGTGCCTTGCAATAGCTCAGCTCCGAAATTTCAGCCCTCAGCAGATGCTGACGTCAGTGAAAGGAATGCTGTTACCCACTGCAGCTTGCCCTCATTAGAAAATTAATTTGTACTTAACATCATATTTGCTAATATGATTTTTCAAGGTCACATCATAATCCTTTCTCACTTGCTAATGAGGACAAATCCCAAGAAATTGGAGATAGCCTCTTACCCAGTCAGTTCATTTGTTGTGTGCGTGCTTCATAAATCAAGCTCCTAAGCCCTCGTGACCCAGGCTTGGGACTTAGAAAGCTGGGAGCTGAACCCAACTCTCCGCAGACCTCCTGTCGCAGGCTCCAGGCAAGTCCCTGACACTGTGGATTTTTTTCTTTTCTGTCTGACTAGGATGTTGTGAGAACAAATTAATTGATGAGTGCAGGTGCTCAGATATCAAGGAAATGGAAGCCATACTAGTCTACCGAAAAAAAGACATTTTAAACATTATTTTTGCCACATACGCAATGGTAAAACATGTAACTGATTTAAAGCTGGTATTTTTCTGATACACTTTAAGAATCACTGCAGACACCTACAGTGTTTGAGCCCTTCTTGCCAAGAAAATCCTCTATAAAGTTTTGTTTTCACTTGGAAATCCCAGTTGATGATTCACTTTTTCCCTTTCACCCTCCAAATTTAGGGGGCTTTTTTTACAAACAGCCCATTTTAGTCTTGCTTTTTAACAAGAAAAGCTTGTTAACAAGCTGCTGTTAATATATTGACAGCAATGAGTACACCAAAACTTAAACTTTCTGGTAAGTCTTCTGATTGCGAGCATTTAACTTGCTGCTAAGCCTTCTATTTTTATATCTTTATCATAGGTTGTTGGAAACAAATCAAGCAGCCCTTCACCAGACATCAGTCAACTGAATTTACCATCAGCTATAATAATGAGAAGGAGACACCTCAAAAACTAGATCTGGTCACCAGTGACATGGCAGGTAACACGCGATGGATTCATTTTGCTCTGCACGCAGAGCAGGTAACAGGGAGAGGGATGGGCCGGCAGTGTTACAAGCTCCAGCTCTCATGCAAGCTATGTTGGAAATTTTTTCTTGGAGTTGTTGGGAAGGATTTCCTGACTCTGAAATAGTTACGAGCTGAAGGTAACTGGGGAAGGCACTCAGGCATGGATGCACTGCAAGAATGTGCCTAGGATAGGACAGTTTGCCTTTGCTGACTAATTTTCGTGTTTCGATTTAAACACAAATGTCTCTGGAAATGGAACAAAACATAATGCCCCCTGCTGCTGAGCAAATAGAAAAATTGCTTAGTTGGTTTGTGGTGGGATTTCATGCCCAGCTGGAAGTTGTGCCGAGATCCCTGTGCAGCTTTCCTGGTGCCTGAACTGTTTTGGAGACGAGACCCTCTGAAGTGGAAGCAGGTAGATGAGATAGAAGGAAAAAAAACCAACCACAGTGCTTCTCTCCTGTGCTACCTTGGCTCCAGGTCACTGTTTGGATAGAGCAAATCCCCGCATCAGTACTATTTGGATCCCAAAGGGATGGTTTTTTAATTCATCCTCTTAGCACATCTTATCCCTGCCTAGTTTAGTCTGTCTGGAGAGGCTAGCGAGACCAGCCATTTCATGGGATCAGTGATCAGCAATCTTCCAGAAAGATTAATTTGCTGTTTCCAGCCTCCAGACCTTAGAAATTCCTTAGAATTTCTCCAATGCATTTGGCAAACACATTTAAAAAACAAATGGATGGTTACTGTAATTCCATATGGTGCTACCCTGGATATCTTTCAAAGATGGTTTCAATCCTTTTCAGAAACTTTCAATATAAATATGCAGAGACCTATAAAGCAGTTTTATTTCATGAAGGAAAGGGAGTGAATAAAGGTTGCTCACAAATCACAGTTATCTGGCCCCCCTGGCCATGCCTGGGGAGCCTCTGCTCTCTCTGTCCTCCACTCCTGCCGTGTTTGTGGGAAGTCTTAACTCTCAGCCTGGCCAGGCAGCTCCCCAGCCTTAGCATTTCACCTACAGTCTCCTTAAAAATAAGAAACACAAAATAAAAATCTGAACGCAGCCCAGAAATGTGCCATTTAAAAATTTAATCGCAGAGAGCGCGCAACTTGCATACAGCTTAACATGCTCCATGCAATTCCGTCCCTTCGAATCCCCAGCTGCCTGCTGGTCCCCAAGGCAGCCAGGAGCAAGTCGAGATGCTTCATCCTGGGCGAGGGAGATTGTTGGGGATGGCAGCAGCGACGCTGGGGAGAGCTGCACCACTTACTTAGTGAAATATCATAACACCTTCACCCTACATGCTGAAGTTTGGGACGTAGCCAGGAACTGCCAAAAAGATTCACAGGACATATGGGATCGAATTCGACGCTCATGTCAGATGAACCACGATGCCAGAACAGAAACTGAGCTAACTTCTTCACGCCTGCATCAAAACATGATACTTTAGCAGTGTCATTTACTAGAGCTGTTCAGGCCACCGTATGCATCCGTAAGAGATTGTCACTAGCACCAAAGTGAGAAAGCTAGAACGCTGAATTTTCTCATAAGAGTTTTACTGGATTTCTTTGAAAACCCTTTTAGTCCAGATCTCCTTCTTCAGCCTGGCATCTGCCTCGACTCGAGGTGCAAACACCACGCTTCTGGAGGCCGCCTTTCCTCCATCTCGCTCCTTGCTCCTGCTCGGGCCGTTCGCCCGTCCCCAGCTCCGTCCCCGCTGTCCCCCTTGACCGGGACGACCGCCCGGTTCCCCCGGCAGCGCCGGTCCCGCTTCTCCTCCCACGGCTGGTCCCCCTCGCGCGCCCGCAGCAGCGCTGAGCTGGCTTAGCGCCTTTCACACTTCCCTTGACTCTCTTGGCTGCTGTTCCGCCTAACTTCATCCTTCCTGTCACTCAGCTACTGCGAGATGCCTTTTAAATAAAGCCAGCGCTTGGTCAGGCTCCTTAAGACTCCTCTGGGCATTTTAATTATTCCAAAAGTAGAACACTTGTTTTGGAGAACTTCGCCTTTGTGGATCTTCGTGCAATGTCCTTTGTCCAGTTTGTTGCTAATATTTTGTTGACTTCTCTCTTTTTTTAGGGCCTTTGAGTGTACTCCAGAAATGATGTTAATTTATTTGGGTGGGTGGGTGGGGAAAGGGAGGGAGGCAGTAGGAAAAGAGGTGGCAGGTTGGAGTTCCTCCGTGGAAGAGCAACCTTCTGCAACGCTTGCTCACTGAAGGAGCTTACAGGACCAGCGCTGGGGAAAGGTTGTCTCACACCCCTGATAACCATGCGTTTGATACAATAACCGAGCCATTTTTCAACATAAAATACCTACTTATGCGTAAGTATTACATACATAAAATAACCAATCTATGCCTTATTGAGCAGTTCGTGCTTCCTTTTAGATTATCAGCAGCCTCTCATGATCGGGACTGGGACGGTAACACGGAAAGGATCTACTTTTCGACCCATGGACACCAAAGACGAGGGAAGAAGGGGGAGTTCAGAGTTCGAAAACCACTACCACTGTCCGCACAGAGCTAACCGGCACGAATACGCTCTGCCCCTGACCAGCCAAGAGCCCGAATATGCCACCCCCATCATAGAGCGGCACGTAACAAGAGAAAACAATTTCCCCTCTGAAAACGGCTACAACGTACCTGTCCTCTCATCTCAGAAACACTCCCTTTCTGCCGGCAGCTTCTCTAGTTCATGTAAGACCGATAACAGGAACGGAGACTATCAGACACCCCAGAGTGTCATAAACTACGACAAACCCAAAGTTAACGGTGTTCTGACCTCCGTGAGCTACAGCACGGACTACCAGAAACCTCAGCCCAACGCCCTCGGGAGCGAGGGTTACTCAACGCCCAGAGACTGCCTAAAACCGATAAGCCAGACAGCAATGACAGCTCTCTTGTGATCTGCCGAGCAGGAGAGACGCGGTGCGCGGGAACGTCGCTGCACAGCTTTCTGAAGCGAAAACAGAGTTTGGAGGGACTCCGCTGCGGGAGGCAGAAGGCAAACAAGCCCTGTGTACATAATATTGCAGTCTTGCTGGGTTCTGACATCTGAAGAAAGCATATGCTGTTTATCGCTGTTTATAGCAAGAGAGATGTTATCAGTGAAGACTGTACATCTTATTTTCTGTAACTGATCTCAGTGCTCCATTTGCAACGTGTGCAATTTGTACATAGCTTTTATTTAAGGAGAATTTCTTAAGTTTCCTTTTCACCTGGGGGATTGAAAGGATTGCAGAATAGCCTATTTAAGAAAAACGGGCCTCCTTCTCCGTCTTTATTTTACCTGCTGTTGTACTGGCAGCTGTAAATGGTGTATCCTACGGTTGTGGTCGTTAATCTCCTTTCCTATGATAACTGAAGATAGGGCATCACTGTAGTTCTTACTGGGAGGGTAGAAGAAGTAAAACTACTTGAAGCATAACGTGCACAAGAGAAGGCAGCTGAGCATTTAAATACTGTGCTCAAATCCACCTTCCCGGCTGCTTTTTTAGCAGCAATTCTTACATGCTTGAGTTTGACCTAGCATATGAGCTGAGCCTGTCTAACGTGCTATTCACATTAGAAACAGGTAGAAAGGCTGGAACCAGTTTTGGGTTCAAGCCACGGTGATCACTCTGCAATAGAAAAAACAACAAACAACAAACCCAACACCTGTCAGGCTGGTTTTTTTTCCAGGAAATGTGTGTGGAACCAAAATGTGAATTTACAGCTGAGAATTAAATCCTGTTCAAGCCCTAGCTGATGCTTTTGCTGCTAACCTATAAGGAAATTTGTTCCTTGGCACAAAGCAGCAAAATTCCTGAATTCTTCATTGCTCCACTAGGTATTTTTCTGTCTTACAAGTTTAGCGTAACATTTCTATTTGAAATATTTTGACTGAGTAAAACACAGTGTGTGTATGGCTTACTGTTGCAGTTAAATTTGCAAGACAGCAGATCAGCACAGTTGTTTTCAAATAGTTTTTCTTTTGCAGCTAACGTTACCCTTAATTCTGTTTTTGGACAAACTTGAAAAAGCGTGGGGAAAGGTGCAATGTATCGCACAGTAGCTGGCTCCTCTTTCAGCAGAGGCGTTGTTGAAGCAAAACAGCTTCTGGTAGCGACTGGGACCGTCCGCTGCTGTTCTACCTGCGGTGCTTCGAGCGTCACTTTGAATTCGAAAGCTTGTCCTAAATCGTCAAGAAGCAATATACTTCTGGGAAGGAAGAATGGTGCTATATTTAAAGCACAAGGTTGGGAAACGAGATTAGTAAAACCTGGACTCTGGGAAAGTCGCTACCTGAAGGCCCTCCGTTTCCTTGCGTGTAAACTGGCAATAATTTGCAAAGGATGCAGCAAAGATTTGTGGTCTGTTTGCAAAGTGCTTTCAGATCCTTGGGTGGAAAGTGCTGTCAGAGTACAGACTAGTTGCAGTGATACTACTCAAAACTATTGCTAACTCCAGCCATATCCGACCTCAAGGCAAGCTCTTGGTGGGTTCTTTGCAAACGCTTGTTTTGTGGCCTCAGTGGTACCGTTCCCTCACGCTGCCACACCGTGCATTTGATTCCTGTGCAAAGAAAGAGTCAAGGTAACCTCGTAGCCTCCCTGTGTTTGCTGTCAATACAGTTTCTGTGAAATGTCTAAAACACCTCAGGTCCTGAAGTGAAACAGCAGCAGCCTGTTTGTTAGACCGAGCTGGGCGGTGTTGTTTACCTTCTGTTGTTTACATGTCTGTGTAAATAAAGAACACTGGTATTTGTAAATCAGTCAGACAGGCCTGCTACTTAACTCGGTGACTTGATCACTGCCGCACACCCACTCTCGTCACATATCCCACAGGGTGAGAAAGAAGCGTTCCTTATGCCCTGCAAAAGTGCCAGTTGCGCTGCTGCAATTCACAGCCCCAGTGTGATGGGCTAAAAAAAGATTCTCTCGGTGCCCCATTTAGCCTGGCGTTTCTGTCCATAAGCTCTAGAGAAGAAGCACCCACGAACACGCTGCTGGATACGTATAATTGAGGAAGGGATGACGATGCCCTCCTGATGAGCCTGAAACCAATACTCCACCCACACAGCTAATTAGCCTGACTTGTCACTTTACAAACAAGCAGTGTTCAGTAATCAGGGCTACTCCCCACCTAACGAGGCACCTAGGTAACGCGGCAGCACAACAGGACCAGGCAGCAGATGACGCTGCTTCCATTATAATAATCTTTTTGCGTGCTCCTACCATGTGCTTTGCGCATCTGCAGCATGCTGCAAGTGTCAAAGAGTTCTTGGTAGCATGCACCCATTTCTGCCGCCGTTCAAACCCATCTTAACACAGCTGGTTTAGCCTAATGAAAAGTTGGGTCTCAGTTTGCACCTTGCCTCCATCCTGCGCCCCTCCTCCCCAAGGAGACCCTGCAAAACTGCAGAACGATGGCTTAAAATAAATCCCCGAACATCTCCATCCTCCCTGGGCCACAGTGGCTCAGTGCTGGTGGGGATGGAGGCAGTGCAGCACCTCTGTAGTCGCTCACGGCTCCTGGTCACTGCTATGGTGCTTCACAGTTCACGTCTGAGTGACTGCTGAGGGCGGGTAACATCAAAAGCCTTGAGTTTCTCCATCTTGGCCTGGGAAATAGGAAGTTTCTAGTGACCCCAGCAGCAGATATGCAAGGGAACTTCCTACCTGTGTAGTCTCTCTATCCTGATGGTGGTGGAGATACTAAATCCTGGTATAGGAAGGAAAGGGGACTGCCTGAATCTTCCCAGTGGTAGTGGCTCATCCTCACGCTCATCCTCTGAATGGCTTCTCACATGCTGGTACATCAGACTCCACTTTGTTCTCACCATCAAAACCAGTCACAAGTATAAGACAGGCAGCCTTATCAAGCATCACACATTTGAAAATCTTCCTTCCACAGTGAACGTTAGAGCATGCACCATTTTGAGACATTTGCACACTTGGAAGGGCTGCATTAGTGCTGGGTCTCTCTCCAACATCTCTAGAGATTGTGTGAGAGCAGAGTCTGACCCTCTGGTCGATGGAGACTTTCAACAGCGTTTCCGTACCAAACTTCTTTCCTGAGCAGGCACTCCCAGTAGGCTGGAACAGTAAAACCAAGCCAGAGTTCACAAGAAGGTTAAATATTAACTGATCACAGCACTAAGAGCCTGCCTCTCCCAGCTGCAGCTGACAGCAAGCCTCTGACTTTGCCAGGAACAGGGTCACACACTGTAACAGCGCATGTGTCTGACCAAGGGAATTGAAGAAGGCGGCTCTTGAGGCAAGAACTTGTAAAAGACGATGTACGCTACCTACAACTGAAAACCAAAAATGACAGCTTAGCATACATTTCCAGCTGGTGCCTTACATTTAAAAAACAAACAAACAAAAAACCCCACAAAAAATAACTACAACAAAAGTTCTCAAAATACCACAGCAAAAATATAGATGTTCTTTGCTCTCACCTCCTTAGACTGGGAAATAGATTGCAAATTCTTGTTTCTTCTGCTAAGTACCTTTCCAACGCTCAATACAAACGCTTTTTTTTCTTATCAAGTGTAATTCTAAGGAGTATTTCCCTATTTCTTTCAGTTGCTGGATTTTTAACATCAGATATTAAACCCGACCTTAGTACCTACCAGAATCTTTACATCCAACAGGCAATCGATTAAAATTAGTCCTTGACTTGCAGACTGGAACTAGGAATTCCCCAGCTCAACGGGTGTCCTGCTCACTCACTTAGAGCATCTCCTGCTCTCTTCTACTGCCCTTCTCCAGATCAAGCATTTGGCCCCACCGCCCTCTCCAGACACCATCCGTGGGATGGGTTCAACCACCTCAGTAGCCCACTGGCTACAGCAGACTCTGCACAACTGGGGGAAGGCAGGAAAACCACTGAGGCCAACCTGCATTCCCTGCGTCTGATGGGTATTGGAACCACTGAGCTGACATGGCAGCAGCCACGGCGGTGTCTCTAGCACCTATGTGTTTTTAAATCAGGGATCCCCACTGCGTTATTTAAACAAACTCCATGAGGTTGAATTCCAACCATTAGAAGCAGGTTGTGAATCCCACAGCTTGTCTGCGTTACTAGTGTGGCTAAAACCCGGGAAGACTGAGTTTTTAATACAGACTTCAGATTTTTCCCACTGACTGCCATTTGGCAGTTCTCCACTCTGTGGGCAGATTTTAGTGGAGCCCCATCTGAGGCACAAAATATTCCCTACACAGGATGGGAATGTCAGGCTGTAGGACCCGTTACAGGAACGGACCTAACCGTGCTTACCTGTTTGGTGGATCGTTGTCATTAAAACATGTATGATTTGTTTTTCCACGGTGCTGGAGACTCCTATCCCACGCAGACATACGGCAAAGATTGCTGCACGCTCCCCAGCGCCGCTCCATCATTGCCAGACTCCCTGCACGCATTACCAGAAGGACTCGTTTCCATTGCACTGGAGGAAAATGGTCCTGTGGCTACGCAGAAGATTGCAGAAGGCACCAGAAGCCTTTCAGGGCAACAGAGAGCAAACCAGGCGACCAGTATCAGTAACTGGCAGAGCCCATGCCTCTGACCTACACCCACTGTTGAATGGGAGAAGTGTTTAAGGGAAACCCCCAAGTCAGCTCTGTTGCGACATCCCCAGTAAGCCCCAATTTTGTATCCATATAATACAGGTGGCAATCATCTGACATGAGGACTCACTCGCTATTTCCAAGGGATCTAAAAACCACAGCAAGGAATCACTATTGCCATAACAAATTACATTGTTTACACCAAGTTACACTAACATTTTTTGACCTTAAAACAGTAGCATTGCATTTCATCAACACCTTAAAAAATATGCATATAAGTTCACCACTGAGGGAGCTAATAAAAACTAAATGAAGTGCAATTACTTGTCTGTGTCCTGGCTTTTGCCAAAGGGAAGGCAAGCTGGTATATTTTTTCCAGGGCGTTTGAATTCAGTTCAGGAGGGCAAGTAACAAAAAGCAAAAAAATGAACAGTTTTGTGACATCTCAAAAAGGAGTCAGTGGTCTCTCAGCAGTCCTGCAGGGTCAGGCACCCACTCAAAGAAATCCATCAGTATTCTTATGTTCACGCTCTCTCCAAACCCAGGTTAGGTTTGCTCAGCGAATGGGTGTCTTAAGGGCTCCCCTAGCCGGTAATCGGTCCGCACCCAAGGAATGACAAGGTTATGTTGTTGCATTCCTTTCTTCCTTATTACTTTCCATAATAAAAATTCTATACTGCCC